TATGTCGATCGGCTGCAGCTGCCAATTGGCCCAACTGCCAGATTAGCCTATCAAAAGGAAAGAAACAAATGCCCACTTGCTTCCAATTATTATCAGCTGGGACCTGCATAACTGCTAGCCTATCAAAAAGGAAATAAACAAGTACCAACTTCTTTCCAATTATTACTAGGGGTGGGGCCTAAGTTGTTGCCTGAGATGTACATATGACATGTAAAAGGGAATGAAATATGACCGGTTTATCTTGTTCACGCATAGTGAACAAATTGGTTTTGCACTAACTGCTTGGCGAATTAGCTGTAATAAATTTAGGGCCCAATTCATTTATTATAAGAAAAGAGGTCTGAAATCAGAATCAGAATGGGTTATTCCAATTTCAATTATTTGGTTGATTGGAATGGGAATCCCATTCTTATTCCTGCCGAAATGATATTCCCGGCTCCCATTTAAGGGCCTTTCTTTGGAAATGAAATCTGATTCCTAGTTATTGTAATAATTCTAATTTTGATTCATGTCTAAACTAAACAGATTATGAGAATAGACCACTCCAATTTCAATTCAAGAAATTTTGATTTCAATTTCGATTCTTATTGCAAACCAAATGGATCCAGTAGTGCTGCTTGTAATGGTGTTAAATACTCAATTTGCAAAGGAAATACAATAAGAAGTAAAAAGAAGCATAGAACAGAAAAAAATTAAAAAGAATGGAACCGTAAATCGCTAGAGTAGAATGTAACTGCCCTTGCATTTCCCTATAATATAAACGGCATCTTTGCCTTGTGCCAACTCTTTGATAGCCCTGTGTTCACTCCAAGGCTCATCAAATCCTCGCTATCACCTGATAATAGCCAAAATCCAATCAAGTTTTATTATTATATATTTGAACAGTTTGTAAAGGAAATGATTTACGCGAACATACTTTAATTGTTTGCAACTGATAAAAAAAGGTATAACAATTTGAATGTCAATAATAGTTGGAAAACATATATAGTTTCAATGAAAGCCTGATAACCTGCGAGTCTATAACACCTACACTAATTAGCACTAAAAGGCTGTTTTTTTTTTTTTTTTTGAACTTTTTGTGCATTCCCTGTTATTCTTCCACATTAAAAAAGGGTAAATTACAAAGGCCTCCATGGGATCAGTGACAAAGTCATCGGTACCTTTTTTTATGACGAAGATGGGAAAAATGAAGAATTAAAAAACTTAACGGAGTAAAGGGGTCCCTTTTATGACGAAGATGGGAAAAATGAAGAATTAAAAAACTTAACCAGAGTGTTTAGAGGAATTTGGCCTTAAAATCCAACTCCGGGCAAACGAATGGCTATTATTCGAGTTTTATCGGAGTTACAGGTCACTCCCGTCCAGCATTCACAGACGGGACAGGTCTGATTCCAGTTGAGATAGCGCGAATGAG